TAAAACGTCTCTTGTAGAGGAAGATGAGGACATTAGTGCAAGGGGGTCACGTGATGGTGGTAAGGCACTACGTTTTGGCAAGAGCTTTGTGCCACTGGTTTTTAATCATCTGTTTATCCTGACAAAATCGTGTGTTGGAGGCCACTTTTGGTATGAACATTTCGGGCTATGTCCCTAGAAAACATCTGGCCACAATCTTTTGACAAAATGGCAAGAAACCTAAAAAATAGAGACAAGAAACATACTATGTTTGTACCTGGCAAGGGAGCACAAGGTGTCAACCAGAGCGAGTCCGATGCCTCGGATGAACTCGACCCAGTCCCTGCTAAAGCCATTTAATCAGATGGCCACTAATATCCTAAGGGTAACTTATGAAAAACATAGTCCTCTGGCTGAGACTACCCCAAAGCATTCAGCAGTGCTCCAGACTGCTAGCGAGTGGATAGATGAAGCTGAAGTTTTCATTCGGGTCTGGTTTTGGTGCTAGGGAACTGTGTACTCTTGTTGACATCTGGTGCAGCAGACATGCCAACCTCTTGGCCAATGTGCTCAAGATGGCTCTTATTATTTCTGAGCCTATTGTAATGTAAGTTTCTCTGGTTCATTCACTTTGGGAATTTCTGTTTTTTAAGACAATTTGTATGTCCCGTTTCATTGGCATGTATGAAAATCCGGAGGCATATGTATTATGTCCAAAAATACAAAAAAGCCTCTTGGAGCCATATCCTAAACCCAACAGGAATTTGACCATTTTGAATTTAATGTCCAATTTTGGCGCCATTTCAATGCATGATATTTTAACAAATTCCTCCTTTGGCATTGATCAGATCGACTTCAAATTTGGTCAGTATAATCTAAAGATCATCACAATTAAAAGTTGTGCTATCTGTGAGATTTGTCAAAGACATGTCTGTGGCATGGCGTCGAATATGGATGGAAAATGGAGCGCGCCCTATTTGCTACAGTAAGTAAGCCTTATATAGCAATAATCATGTAGTTTTTGTGAAATTTGCACAATTTAGTGTGCATGACACAGCCACACCACACCCCAACATGTGTAGGTGCAGGGGCCCTTTAATCGCTGCTTGCAGCGTTATTTTTAATTTGTCTCTTGTGAATCCTCCAACTTTACAGCACAAGTTGGAAAGAGTACACTGTTACCTAGCACAGAAACCAGACACTAATGAAAAATTAAAATTAAATCCTCGCAATCCAAATGCCCTTCATAGAATTTGCTGTTTATGAATAATTCAGATTTAAGGAGTCTGTAAAGGACCTAATAATACTAATTCCTATCACTTGAAGTGCAGTAAAAGCCTGGAGGTCCATCCGTACTATAGAGGGCTGTACTCAGATTACATCCCCTCTTATTTCTATCCAGGATAGCCCAGACATCCTGCCAGGCTGTCAAGAAAGGGGAATTGAGATGTGGATTAGCCAGGGTCTAACAAAACTAGGAGATTGATTTGACAGACCTTGCTATCCTTTCAGCAGCTTCAGCAACTATATGGTTTACAGAAAAGGGAATTGTTTAGATACTTACAAATCAGACATTATAGCATGAAAGATACTACTAAACAAGCCTGGGAGAGAGATCGGGGCATCTCTATTGATGACTGGCAGGAAGTGTGGATCTATCTATCTAATATCCATCTGCAATCAAACAAATCTATTCAATTTAAAATTCTACATTGTATGCATATTACACCAGTTGTTAATAACAAAATGGGTGCTAAAGCATCCCCGCTCTGCGGTGAATGTTACTCTGACATTGGCAAATATATTCACTGTTTCTGGTCATGTGTAAAGTTACAGATATATTGGTCTGGTATTGTGGAATAATTTTCTTTTATTTTTGGTGTTCCAATAAAGTTAAACCGTATCTGCCTCCTTCTTGGTCTGCCAGACAGTAAAATATTAAAACATAAGAGATTATTCAATCTACTGATTTTTTCCACCAGGCTCAAGGATGGGACTCCAAATAAAGAAATCATGGCACAATCTTATATTGGACTATGTGAATACTTTTTATACTGTTTGGACCCTTACTTAGACAATATCTCACCCTCGTTGTCATCTTCCTTATTGCAAGGGTTTCCTAAACAGCCTAGCCTGTCTGTAATTTATTACTTATTTTATTTTATGTTTTACTGCAAAACAAGTCTTCTTGTAATCTTGTTTGTTTATATTCTTACCTATTTCATGGAATTTGCCTTTCTCTGTGGTGGGGGAGTTGAGGTTTGGGGATGGATTTAATGTCCATTAATCTTACTTATGTTTATTATTATTACACACTAATTTTATTTACGTCATGTTTGAGCGGTTTTGTTCTATGTTCTATGTTGTATATGAAA